GGGGTAGGATGTCAGATGTTGACGCGGGCGCACCTAACTTGCCCCCCCCCCCTCCTCATCTCTTGCCCCCCCCCATGTGGCGGCGCCAAGGGTCCAAAGACGGGGTGCTGATTAGGAATGCGGCGATGCATTGGCGATGCGGCGCGATCCCCTGACCCCATCTGCTCGGACCCTATCTGGGAGGCCTGTACAGATCTCTCCGACGATGCGTGTTTTCCCAACCATCATGTGTTGAGTTGGTTCCTTGTTTTGAATCAGCAGCGCCCCGCGCCCTCCTCCTTCGTCCTCCTCCTTCGTCCTCCTCCTCCTTCTCCTTCTCCTCCTCCTCCTCTTCTTCCTCCGCCTCCGTAGCCATTTTGGCCCAAAGCGCTCCCGCTGTTTGCCCCAACATCTTGTCTCGCGCTTGGCTAGCTAATGCTGGCTTGAGCACTCTGTTTGTGCCGTGTAGGCGAGCTCTGTTGCTTCTCGCTCCCGCTGGACGGCTACGTGGTCCAGTACTGCCTCGGTTTCTCTTCTGATGACGACGAAGTTCAACGCGCTGGTTGCGCAAGTTTCTTATTTTGTTGAAGACGCTGGACGCGTACCTGGAGGTTGCCGAGCTCATGATGAACGTTTTTTCTTGAAGTCCAGTTGCACACCCATCGGCACCACCAAGCACATTGTTGTCCGTTTGAACATAATGTCCATCAGCCCTCGCGGGCGAGCGCGCTCGTGCACTATCTTCTGCCTCGGGGACAGCTTGTTGCAGCGCGACGGGGGCATCATCGTGCGGGTCAGCCTCGGCACGAAAGCTATCCGTGCGGGTCCGCCTCGAGGGTGGCTGCTCCCCGGTGGCGGTCTGGGGCTCCGTCGCATTTTGTTATTCGTGCTGACGCTCCAGTGTTTTCTCCTCCTGCGGACGTCCTCTCTTGTGAGAGCGCCAACGCCGCGTACCGCTTGGAACCCCTGAGCATACGAGGTCCGGGGGCGGCAGCTTTGAGATGGCGGGGCTGGTGCCCCGTATTCTGTTCAATGGAAGTGAATATGTTTTGTCTGATGTGTAATGCGAGGCCTTTTCCGCTGTATGTGTGCATAAACGCACGAAACGGTCACGCGGCAAGTCGCCAACGGTACATTGATGATCAGGTTCAGCGTGGTTTTAAACCTGCCGATTTGATGCAGTTGCGTGGGGACTGCAAGCGCTTGGTCGATTGCAACCAGGCCGAAACAGAGGAGTTTATGTTCACGGTCAAAAATCAGATCCTGTCCGACGTGGTGGAACAGGTTCGGTCTTGTAGTGTACGAGACTTTGACCAGACGAGGAAGGATGTGTTGCGTCTCAATCAGCTGTTGGCACGACTTTGGGTGCGTGCATTGCGATCCTCGTCGGATGGCGATTGACGTCGCGGAGCACGACGCGGCCATCAAGTCGCTCACCGGCCTCTTTGGAGAGTCACACAAGCAGCTCTCCAATTCCATCCTTTCTGCTGTGTCCACTGCTATGCGTCAACTTCTGGATTCTGATTTGACTTGGATGGCTGTTCGCCGCGAAATGGGAACTCTTTCCTTCTTGGCCTTTTTGGGTGCCTGCTGGCTGCTCATCGGATGAAGGGGGCCTGGGAGCAGTAATCTCTGCTCGCCGGCGGGTCTCCCGTGCTTCTCCCTGCCGCTGGCGTGCGTGATTTCCTTGGGTTTGTCAGACCTTGTGTTGCACGTCGCCTACAGTGTCCTGTGCGTCGGCATCCGCCTCCGAGGTGTAGGTCCTCTTCGCGTTGTTTCCGCCTTCTCTCATTCCCTTCCCCGAAGGCGGGTGGCTTCTCATATATTGCAACGTGTTCAACGGGATTTGCTCTCTACGGTCCTCCTCCTTCTCCTTCTCGTCCTCGTCCTCCCCGAGTCCGTAGCCATTTTGGCTCAAGTCCGTAGTGTGTCGCTCAGGACTTGAGATTCTGGAGAGGGGGGCGTGCGGCCCCCGACCGCTCTCGCGTCTCCCGGGTGGCCTGCCCAGGCCTGGAGGCGCTGCTGCGTGCCGTGTACTGCGCGCGGGTTTCACGCCTGAGCACAGCGCGATTTCTTTTTCACTCTCGAGCGCGGGAGGCCCATGGCGCCCTCGCATGCTTCTCAAGGCGGCGCGCCGCCCTCAGGTCACGAGCAGAGGCGCCAGGCGTGGGCCAATCCATGGTGTTGCAAGCGCTGCTGGTCGCACCAGGCTGGCCATAGGTGGTGGAACAGAGCGGATCTCGATCACTGCCGCTATGCAAGCAGCCCGAGGCGTCAGCATTTGCAGGGATCAGGCAGCCAGCCGCTCCTTCTGCGTCGGCGCTTGAGGCGCCGGCGCAGCCCAACGCCAAGCTCACTGCCGAGCTCAAGAGGTTGCGCGAGGAAGTCACACAGTTGCGGAAGAAGGAGGTCGCAACAAAGCCCGACGGCGACGCCATGGACGTCGACGAGGGCAATGACAGCGACGCAGACTCACGCGAGGAGCTCGGGGCAGTCACCGAGAAGCTGCAGAAAGTTGCAGATGTGGAAGGCCCAGGGTCCGATGAGTTGCGGGAGAAGTTGCGGGCGCGTCAGACCACCCTGCGAGGTCAGATCACTCGCGGCAAGTCTCTGGACACGCGGCTCAAAGATATGTCCTTTCAGCGCGCGAAGTTGGTCACGCATCGGGAGCGCCAGACCGAAGTGGTCGAGGAGCTCGAGCAGGTTGCAGCAGAAGCGCATAAGGCCGTGGAGGACGCGGCCAAGGCGCTTCAGGCCACAGTCAGGGGAATCACGGAGTTGGAGGCCGCGCGGTGCCAGTTGGTGGCTGGCGCGCCACGGGCCCCTGAGAGGCCCGTTGTCGACGGCGCGCAGGGGCTCAAGCAGCCCCTTGCAAGCAACCTCACGGTCGAGAAGTGTGGCGAGTTGCTCGAGGACTGTGGCGGCGAGCCGGCTTTGGCGCAGAAGCTTTTCGAGTGTTTGGCTGAGGCGAAGGCGGAGGAGGGACTGCGCAGCGCGCAGCAGCGCCGCGCCGCCGAGGAGGCGAGGCAGCGGCAACAGCAGCAGCAGGAGGCCGGGCAGGCCGCTCAGGCTGCTGCAGCTGCGACGGCTCAGCACTGGCAGCGCTGGGAGCAAGCCGTCCCGTCGCAGGGGGGCGATCCATAGTTGCTGCGAGAGTTTCTCCGCTCGGTCGAGTAGCAGGTGCCAGAGGATGAAGTTGAATTGCGGGAAGCAGCCGAGAGGACGGGTGCCATGTTGTCGTCGTTCGCGAAGCGGCGCAAGGTGGCGTAGTTGGCAGTTGTTGTTGTTGATTGGTATGCATCTGTGTGTGAACTCTTTTGTCGGCATCATGACGCGCCTTTCTACTGTCAACACTACGTCGTTCAATCCGCTTGCTGAGATGTTCGAGGCCGATGCTCCTTTGCTAGGAGATGAGCAGCCTATCATGTGCGTAGAGGAGCATCACGTCACGGCTGCGCAGATAGGATCATTTCAAGGTCGCATGAGTGCGGTCGGCTACCACGGCGCGCGGGCTCCAACCAAGGAGACTGGCCACGGGCGTTGCACAAGCGGTGGCGCGGCGGTGATTGCGCCGAAGAAGGTGCAGGTGACGGCTGGGCCGTTGCTGGCAGACACCAAAGGTGTGCAGCTGGACGAGAGAATTGTTGCGGCGCTAGTGCACACTTGGTTCAACGGAGGCTTCGTGGCAGTGTCAGCTTATCTCCACGTCAGCGAAGAGATGGGACATAAGAATATGACATTGCTCACGATATTGTCTCAGTATCTGCTCAGAGTGCGAGCGCGTGGGTATGAGTGGATTGTTGCAGCTGGCTACACATGGATCGCGCTCTGATGCAGCCATGGGCGACTTCTATAGGAGGAATTCTGGTGGCGCCGTCTGCGCCCGCGTGTATTCTGAGTGCACCAGGTACGACGATCGATTACTTCATCATGTCTGAGGGGTTCGCCATCCGTTCTGGAATGGTTGGGGCGGTGGGCGCTGCGACAATCTGGCCCTATAGGCATGTGCTGATGCAAGTTCGCGCCAAAGACGCAGTCTTGTGGTGCCGAGTTGCTGACCAACTAACATCTCTTCCTGCATTGGCCAGGCCAGGTTGTGGGCG